GTACTATAACTTTATAATATAAGCAATATAACTTTATAATAAATCTTGATATTTGGTCATACAGACTTCTAAATTTGTTCTTGTTTAATTGCCTTGGCTATTCAGATCCCTTCGTATTTCCATATAAATTTTAGAATCTGCTTGTCAGTTCCTGCCAAAATGTCTGCTAGGATTTTGGTTGGTATTTCATGGGCCACTTTAAGTGTGTTTTTGTGCAAGTTTATAGAAATGAAGGGTCTTGTATTCAGCAGTCTTGCATAATTCCCTCGTTAAGTCTAGCAGTTTGTCAGGTCTTTGGAATTTTTTCTGTACACAATCATGTTGACATGATTAATGACAGTCTAATGTTTTCTTTACTATCTGTATAGATTTTTTTTAAAAATGTAATTTTTCTGGCATTATCGCTTTGGGCAGCACCTTCATTACAGTGTTGAATAGAAGTGATGATAGTAGACATTCTTATTTTGTTCCTAATCTCAGAAGAAAATAATAAACTTTCAATATTTCACCAATAAGCATCATGTTTACTATATATTTTTAAGCTTCAAAAAATCAGATTAAGGAGGTTCCCTCCTATATCTGGTGTGCTAGGAGTTTTCTTCTTTTTAAAAATACAATAAGTTTTGAATTTTATAAAATGCTTTTTTGCATCAATCAAGATGGTAATATGGTTTTTCAACTTTTTTCTATAATGAGATATATTTTGATTTATTTATTTTCATATATTAAGTCAACTCTGTATTTCTGAAATAAAATCTACGTGGTCATGATGCATTATCTTTTTAATATGTCATTGTATTCTATTTGCTAATATGTGTGTGTAAATGTGGGTTATTTGAATCAACATTCATGAAAACATTTGCTTGTAATTTTCCTTTCATATAATATCCTTGTTATATTTTAGTATCAAACTTGTCCTGGTCTTACAAAATGAAGAGGTTGAGCAAGATTATTGTTATTTATTTCTTAAATGTTTGGAAGAATTTATCAGTAAAGCCATCTGGTCCTGGAGTTTTTCTTTGCAAGAGCTTTTTATTATTTTGTTTTATTTTTCTGTATTCAACAAATATCTCTATTGAAAAGATACAGCTAGCCACTGTTCTGTTGCTGTGCTGAAAATACATTGGTAGGCAAAAACAAAACCAAAAAAATATAGCTCCTGTTCTTACAAGGATTGCTTTATAATATTTACTTTTGAGATAGAGGGTCAGGGGATACTTCTGTTGTCTATCTCAATTATTATTATTTTAAACTTTTAGGTTCAGGTGTACATGTGCAGGTTTGTTTTATACATACATACATATATATACATATATATATATAAAAATTATGTCACATGGGCTTGGTGTAGAGATTATGTCATTACCCAGGTGTTAAGCATAGTACACAATAGGCATTTTTTTTTAATTAAAAAAATTTTTATGCATACATAATAATCATACATGTTTATGGGGCACTTGTGATATATTGATACAGGCTTACAATGCATAATGATCAAAGCTAGGTTATTGAGATATTCATTGCTTCAAACATTTATCATTTCTTTGTGTTGGGAACATTCCAAATCTTCTATTTTGAAATACATAATAAATTATTGTTAACTATATTTTTTGTGTTTAAACCTTTATTTATTTGTTTGTTTATAGTTTGTTACAGCAACTGCCTCTTTACTTTTATTTTTGAGTTCCTCAACCTCCTCCTCTCCCTCTACCCTCAAGTAGGCCCCAGTGTTTGTTGTTCCCTTCTTTGCATTCACATGTAGTCAATGTTTAGCTCCCACTTATACATGAGAAAATGCAGTGTTTGGTTTTCTGTGCCTCTATTAGTTTGCCTCCAGGTTGATCCATGTTGCTGCAAAGGACATGATCTCATTCTTTTTATGTTTGCATAATATTCCGTCATTTATATGTATCACATTTTTTTAATCCAGTCTACCATTGACGGGCATTGAGGTTGATTCCATATCTTTGCTATTGTGAACAATGCTGCAATGAACATATGCATGCATGTGTTTTTATAGTAGAATGATTTATATTCCTCTGGGTATATACCCACTAATGGGATTGCTGGGTCAAATGGTAATTCTGCTTTGAGTTTTATTACCTTAAATAAGAAATTATCTCTGTTTAATAGATAAAAAACTATTCAGATGATCTTTTTCTTCTTGTGTCAGTAAGTTGTGTTCTTAGAAGACTGTTAACTTTATCCATATTGTCAAATTTATTGGAAAAAACATGTTTATAATGTCATCTTAATACTTTCTAATATCTGTGGAGTCTATAGTGTTGCACCTTTTTCTATTTGTGTTATTGTTAATCTGTGTTTTTTTTCTGATTTTCTTGATCAGCCTTGCTAGAGATCTATTAAATGTATTAGTCTTCGCTGACTTTGTTTCTATTGTTTATTTCTATTTCATTAATTTCTTCTCTTTTAAAATTTATTTCCTTAAACTTTCTTTGGTGTGATTTGCTGTTTTTTTAGCTTCTCAAGTTGACTTATATGATAGATTTTAAGCTTTTTTTTTTTTTGTAATATATGCATTTAATACTTTGAATTTTGCTATAAGCACCTTAACTGCATTCAATGTGTTGATATTTGGTATCTTCGTTAGCATTCCATTAAAAGTGTTTTCTAATTTCTTGTTTGACCTAAGGATTATTTGGATGTGTATTTCTTAGTTTTCAAGCAGTTGGAAATTTTATGGTTTTACAATTATCTCTTTTTCTCTATCGCTCTGTTATTCATGTCTAGCACAATTTTACTGTGATCAGGCTTTGAAGATTTCAGTCCTTAAAAACTGTTAAGGCTTGCTTGTGGCCCTGTGTAAATTGTCAATTTTGGTAAATGTTCCCTGTGCCCTTGAAAAAAAATTGAATTCTGTTATTGTTGGTTGTATTTACATCAACTTGCCAATTATGTCAATTTTGTCATCATGTAGATTTTTTCTATCTTGATTGATTTTTTAAATTCTGTCAGTTCTTGCTTCATACACACACACACACGATGCACATGCGCACACACACACATTATTGGGTGTATACAGATTTAGAATTGTTTTATATTCCTGGTGGTTTGCTCGTTTTATTGATCCACCATCTTAATCTTAGTGGTGTTTCTTGCCATTTTGGTGTTTGTATGGTTTTTCTATCAGCCTCTCTGTGTTCCTACATTTAAAGTTTGTTTTGTGAGCAGAATATACCTTTTATTTTTCCAGTCTGATAATTTAGTTTTTTAATTGGAATCTTTTCCCTCTTGTGTCATTTGCCTTATTTTTGTCATGAATTTTTATTCTACATAATTTTTAAGCACCACAAGATATTGTTAATTTTATTTTGTAGAGTTAATATTCATTTATGCATATTCACAAAATTACTTTTTTGGTGCTCTTTATTTCTTCTTGTACTCATTGTTTTTGTCTGGATCATTTTTCTTCTGTTAGAAAAATTTATGTCTAGGATTTAAGAAATGCTTTCCTGCTGATAATGAAATCTCTGTTTTTCCTTGGCTAAAAACATCTTTATTTCATCTTAATTTGAAGGAATGTCTTTTCTGGATATAGAAATCTAACCAGATGCCATTTAATAGTCTTTTAGATAGATGCAAAATTTATTGATTTTCAAATAGTTTTCGTCATTTTTAATATTTACATTGATATTGGTATTCTAGTTGATTTCATGCACTTTGTTCTAACATCTCCCCCTTCTTTCTAGCATTCTTTAATGGAAACAGTCTAGGATTTTGAAAGATAAATGCCTTAATTCCAGAGTCAGTGCCTTCATTCCAAATGCCTTAATTACTACCTATATGACCTTGGCCAAGTCATTTAAGTTTTCTGAGCCAATTTTTTATCTATAAAATGGGAAAAATATTACATGGGTTCTACTCTCTTTCACTGGGAAGTTATGAGGGACTGTTGAGATATTGTCAGTGCTTTGTAAAATGTAAAGTACCAATCAGCTCAGTTGGAAATTTTTAGTGTTATTATTTACTGAAACAGAAATATTCTCAGTGTATGTATCCAAAATTCTCTTACAAATGCACATTTTCATGAACACCCACAAAATAGTTCAATGATATTATTAATGTATTTATTTCTGTCTATCCTTTGTTGTATTAAGGACATTGTTAAAAGTTACATAAAATGTAACTTACACAAGGTCAATCACAAGTTTATTTCTTATCTTTCAAGTGACTAACATGAAAAGGAAAACCTGGACAGTTACATAATTCATAATGTCCATAAGATAAAAATAATTCATTATTCAGGAGAAGTGCTCTTATTTCTTAATACTAAGCTCAGACAGGAATTTCTCTTTCAGTTCTTTTTATGATGTAGAGTTATTTAAAATATTTTCCTGCTGGTTTAGAGGTTATTGATTTGCATGGTTAATCCAAATCAGTGTTGGACTTATCTAGAATTTTAATATTCTGTTTCATACTCACCATAGGAGAATTATGCATTTTAATGTGGGCTTCAAGTAGCTGCTCTTCCACCCGACTTGCAAGTGGATTATATTCAGAGAATAATAAATAATGCCAGTTTCCTTTTAAAAATGCTTGGATGCACATTAGAGGGAAGGTTAGGCTGCTAAATTAAAATTATATTTTGCATATATAAAATTATCAAACTGCCTTAGGAAGATAATCTTCAGCTGCATTTTATTTATTAAAGGCTAATTCAAAAAATCCTTACATTGATCAGATACTTAGAATCTTTACTATGTGTGGGCATGTTGTTAACTCTTGGGCTGCTTATTCTTTGATAAAGAAGCTGTCATTCAGACTTACTTTTGTGCTTTATTCTTTCCCTTTTTTTTTTTTTTTGGTAAACATGTATTTAAATGGAAAAAAACAGTATGAAACTGCAGTTTTTAAGTCAACTACTGATTGCGTGTTTGTGCCTCACAGCCAATGCCCTAACACATCTGAGGTTTTGTATGATGAAAAAATTTAAAATAGGATATTTGTTCCTTGTTTAAATTCTTTGACTTTGTCTTCAGGTCACTGGCATGCATTTTATATGAGATGTGCTGCATGAATCATGCATTCGCTGGCTCCAATTTCTTATCCATTGTTTTAAAAATTGTTGAAGGTGACACACCTTCTCTCCCTGAGAGATATCCAAAAGAACTAAATGCCATCATGGAAAGGTATAGAAATAAATATGTTGTCCCAGAAATAGTTGAAAATTGTACTTATATTTTAGTTCATTTGAAAAATAATTTTCTTTTTAAACGTTACAGCATGTTGAACAAGAATCCTTCATCAAGACCATCTGCTATCGAAATTTTAAAGATCCCTTACATTGATGAGCAGCTACAGGTATTTAAAATGAAAGGGATTCTGCGAAACAGGTATTAGCATTTGTATACACATTCCATGACTTGAAGATATGCAGAGGGGATACGATGCAGTAAGAATCAACCAGAAAGGAGGAAAAAGGTCAAAAAGAAGCTGAGAGGCCGAGGCGGACAGATCACGAGGTCAAGAGTTCGAGACCATCCTGGCCAATATAGTGAAACCCCGTCTCTACTAAAAATACAAAAAAAATAAAATAAAATAGCTGGGCGTGGTGGTGTGTGTCTGTAGTCCCAGCTACTCAGGAGGCTGAGGCAGGAAAATCACTTGAACCCAGGAGGGAGAGGTTACAGTGAGCCAAGATTGTGCTACTGTACTCCAACCTGGTGACAGAGTGAGACTCTGTCTCAAAAATAAATAAATAAATACGAATTTTAAAAAGCTGAGAAAAATAGTAGTCAGGACAATCTCTTTCCAAAATAAGGTGTGTGTGAACTCCCATTCCCCAGTGCCATTGAAAATGAGAAGTGAGGGTTTTTTTTATGCCAAAACTCAACATCCGTCCTTGGAGCCCTGTGGACAGATCTTACCCAAACGCTTTGTAACTATATCCCTGCAAGGACAAGAATATAGTAACAGAGAATACTAAAATCTAGGATTATCACTGAGCATTTATAATTCCAATCCTTTATTATATATCTCAATAATACTTTTTAATGATTAGCTAAGTTTATTTTGTTTTCTTGTAAATTAGGAAATGTGATATAGAGGCTGTGTCTCAGGTATTAAGAAAGCAGCAAATGGTCCCCTCTTTAGAGGGCTTTTGGGTTTTTTGTTTGTTTGTTGTTTTTTTTTTTTAACTTCTCAGGGTTTTACAATACAAATCCCTGAAGCAAGTTTCCTCTAATTTTATGGGTAACTTTAAGAAGAACCACAAAATGGTCATCCATCTTAAAAGCTGTGCATACCTTTTCATCAGTGGGGCATGTTCCAAATCCAAAGGAAGCAAAGGTGATAAATGATGTGTACTTATTAGTTGAGTGCTGGGCACTGTGCTGACACCAGGGGATGCCAAAATGAAAGGAACAGGTATGTTTCCTGTCCTTTTGAAGCTTGACTAGTGAGAGAAACCAATAACCAAGAAAAAGTAAGGATGTAAATAACATAAGTATATGCCTAGCACTAGGAAGAAAGTATAATAAACAAACAGGATACTGTAAAAATAAGGGAGAAAGGAAGGTCTTTGGTGGTCAAAGGAGTACTTGACATTTCTTTACCAGCGAGCCAATGGGAAGCAACCAGCCATGTGAAGAGCCTCAGAAACAGTGTTCGAATCACAGGGAATAGCTGGCACAAAGGTCCTGATTATGTTGTGCCTTGGAGGTAGATACCGATGGGAGGGTTCTTATGCAAGCATATGCTCTCAGGGAAGCCCACGCGGTCATGGGGAAGGCAGGACAGGAGAGACGGAGGCAGGCTTAGGTTCCTGGTACTTCCATCTCTCCTTCTATGAAGGCCAAATGGGATCCAGTAGAACCTGCAGGTGGTCCTCTGAAAAAGAGCCTCATATGCTGGTTGTGGGGATCAAAAACACACTGAAGAGGCTGTGAGCATTCAAAAAAAAATAAAAAGGGTCAAAAAGTATTCACAGGGATCTGCTGGGACCAAGATGAGGCAAGTGAGCCCTTTGACTCTGGGGTAAAATTTAAGGGGACACTAAAAACTCGTAATATTTTAAAAGTAATATTTTAAAAATCCAGATTAATGCTTAAAATCCCAGGTAACAAGATATTAACAGTTTAAAGACAGGATCCAGCAGGGCCAGGATTACGGTGAGGCAAGTGAGGTGGAATTGTGTAAGTTCAGGGTTGGATCCTGTCTTTAACGTTTTGCTATTGTATTCTTTATAGTTTTTTGACATTAATTTTGATTTTTTAACAATAATGTTCATTAAAATTATTTATCTTGGTTACTGAGTTTTTTGGTGTCCTCTTAGATTTTGCACCTGAGGTATCTCACTTGCCTAAACCTTGCACTGGCCCTGGGAGTGTAGATACTGTCCTCTACAGTCTGGGAGGTTGGAAAAAGCTTGTGTCTTCTTGTAGCTGAAAGTAGGCCTGCCCATGATTGGCAAAAGGGAATGAGAGAGCAAGCAGTGCAAGATGAAGCTGGAGAGACAGGCAGGAGCCTGACCCTGCAAAATCTTCTTGGAAAAGCTACCATGTAATTTTACAGAACCCATGAAAAAATAGCATGCTTTGTTCTCAGGCTCCCTGCCGTGGTCAAAAGTTCCCCAAATCTGAAAAGATACTTGGTAATTTATTCCCTTTCATCCCGAAAGAGGAGCCTTTTAGGTATGTCAGGGTTGTTGAACTTTTTTGCAGCACCTAATGTGTAGACATTCAGAAATGACTCTGGAAGACAAGAATTTGGATTGTCAGAAGGAGGCTGCTCGCTTAATTAATGCCATGTAAGTAATTGCTTTGTTTTTAAAAAGCCCATCGAGTGTAAATGTTGAATGCATTTGTCTTTAAAAATCTATTAGCACTAAACTGACTGCATGGAGTATCCTAGAATTCACTTAAGTCTTGCCAAGAAATTAAGGAGCTTCAGGAACTTGGTGTTCCAAAGCCCTTTACCCCAGGTGGTAGCAAATTGAAATCATAAAAGTTTAAACCACTGCACAGCTTACAGATCTGCAGGGTAGCTCTGCAGTTGCCTTGCAAGGATATAGAGAAGTTAATATCCCAAATATTTAGTAACATTTATGCTAATGAGTCTTCCATAATAACCACAAATGGCTTTCACATGTTGTTTGTTTAATGTGAAGTGGCAGAGTATCTATTGACAAGAGAACATTGTGAAGTCCTGGGACAATTGAAAATAAGCTGAAATTCACTTTCTTGAAATATACATTCCTTCATATAAGAACTAAACAATGTATTTCCCAAAGAAACAAATTTATTTCCTGATCTAACTTCCCTCTCCTACCTCGTTCAAAATTTTTGTTCTATAACTTGCAAGAACCCAGAATACTAGGTTCTTATGTTTTGGGTTTTTGCATAGTTGTACAGTCATGAACGACTGTAGTATACAAGAAGTGTGCAGGACAGTGGAGTGAAAACAGAAGCTCTCATAGGCTGCTCTAGCACAAATACACTCCTCCAACACCCAGTCCAATGTTTCTCAACTCCACCATGTTTGCTTTCCATCTTCACTTTCAAACTGAGGAAATTTGCATGATCTCCAGTTAAGATACACTATATACCACAGGGGGTAAATTTTTAGGCATGTTCCTAATAACCTTGTTTTTATGGTTTATTATCTGCTATTTCAAGAAACATCGAAATTTCCAATTGTGTTTTATTAACTAGAGATGTGAGAGTAGTAGATATTTTTTAAATACTGGACTAGTTTTGGCTATCATTTTGTACTGCAGTTATAAAACTGACACTGTTTACAATTAACAGTGTTCTAGAATCCAGTTGTTTGGAGGGTATTTTACATTATGAAATATTGACTTCAGATGGTCACTGCTATTTTTGAGATCTATGACTATGTTTCAAGGAGATCCATTGGTCTGACAAAATAAGAGATGTATATTCCTGAAAATTGAATGTCCTCTGGAGTCTGTGGTCTGGATGGTGTCAGAGAAGTATTAGAACTGTCCTCAGAGGTCATTACAATTTTCTCATAGTGTTTGTCAAGGAAAGAGTGGAGTGCAAAAGGTCTTCTATAGTATTGGGCCCTAACCAAGTCAGGAAGAGAAGCAAATGCCATTGAGAATGTGGTTGAAGTTCTTTCAATGTGCCTTCCCTCTGAAGATTTTTAGTCGTGTGCCAGTCATCCCTGTCCGCCTGGCTGCCTCTCGTCGACCATCTTGCCCCCTCCCTCATGCTAAATTGTATTGACCATGTCTTCTATTCCAGGCTTAATACAGTAAATATTTTTTGCTGTGGCATGGTATAGTGGTTAATTACACAGATTAATAACACTCTCTCAATTCAAATTCTAGCTCCCAGGTAATACTCTATATTACTTTGGACAAGTTACTTAACCTCTCTATGACTATAAAAAAAGTACCTACTTCACAGAGTTGCTCTGCATTTAAGTGAGTTAATTCATGTAAAGTGCTTATAAGCATGGGGTTATTACCTGCTAAAATGTTAGCCAATGTGATTATTTAGCCTCTTTTTCAGTTAAAGAAACATGCTTAACATTAACAATACATCGAAAGAGGTTTATGTGCTGATTGTTGGGATCAAAAACACTGAAGAGGCTGTGAACATTCCACAAAATAAAAGTCTAAAGGTATTCACAGGGATCTGCTGGGACCAGGATAAGGCAAGTGAGGCCCTTGACTCTGTGGCAAAATTTCAATGGGACACCAAAAACTCATAATCAAGATCAAATTTTAATGCAACATTGTAAGACTCCAAATTAATGCTTAAAATCACTGGTAACAAAATATTAAAAGTTAAAGACAGGGTCCAGCAGGGCCAGGATCAGGGTGAGGAAAGTGAGGTGGAATTGTATAAGTTCAGGGTTGGATCCTGTCCTTAAAATTTTGCTATTGTAGTCTTTATAGCTTTTTGAAATTAACGTTGATTTTTAAAAATAATTTTCATTAAAATTATCTTGGTTACTGAATTTTTTGGTGCCCCCTTAGATTTTGCGCCTGAGGTATCTCACTATCCTAAACCTTGTGTTGGCCCTGGGAGTGTAGACATTGTCCATTACAGTCTGGGCAGTGGGAAAAAGTTTGTGTATTCTTGAACCCAGAGTGTGTTATTAATCTGTGCAATTAACCATGACACCATGCTACAACAAAAATATCTACTGTATTAAGCCTGGAATAGAACACATAGTCAATAAAAGTTAGCATGATGTAGGGGACAAGATGCCCAACTAGGTGCAGCCAGGTGGAACAGCTGCCACTGAGGGACCAGGACTACTGGCACACTCCTAACAGATCTTCAGAGGCAACAACTGAGAGTAGCTGGAGAGAAGGCACAGAAGCTGGGCTAAAGGGGGAGCAAGTTGGGAATCCTGCATGGGGCCACTGTACACCTATGCACCAGGACCCATTCCTGGTCTCCAGTGACGCTGGGGGAATGGGTGAGTTGAACTGGCAGGTAGCAACCTACTCTTGCCACAGGCCTCTGGAATTCCAGCTGGAGGAGACCCCTTGATCCCCAGGGACACTTGAGTTGGTAGGGAGAGCTGCTTAGAGAAGTAGTAGGGGCAGCACACCAGCCGATGTGGAGCCCAGAGGGTTTGGTGCTTGAGTGTCTGCAGCAGAGCATGGCCAGGGAGACCATCCCCTTGGCTTGACTTGCTCCCATGGGAGACTTTAGACCCAGGGGAACTGTCTCACCTGAACTCTGCAGGCAGTCTTGCCCATCAGAGGAGGCTGATCTGACCTGAGCACCCCTTGATCTTCTGGCCTCTCCTGAGGCCCAGCCTGACCATGCCTGCTTGCAGTGCAGCCACGGGTGCCCTGGGGGTCTACATCACAGCTCCTGTACTGCTGAGGAATCATGCCTGACTGGAGGAGAGATCCAGTGGGGAGACCTACTCCTTCCCCTAACTGCAGCTTCCCCAGGCTCATAGCCACACCCCTCCCCATGTTGCTTTTCTGGCATGTATATACATGGGCAGATTTTGACTTTCCTGCCCTGCCAACATGCGTATGCCCTGCTACTGCTGCTGATGGGAGTGTATCCCACCTCACCTCCCCTGCCATTGCAGTCAGAGCCTTGGCAGCACAGAGACAGCCAGCCCTGGCCCTGCCAGCACCCTGCCCCTGTACCAACACTGCTGCTAGAGTGAAACTAGGTGCAGAGAACAGCGGACCCTTCCCTGCCCTGACATGCACTCCTACCTATGTGCATGTCAACATGCACAGAGGTTGCACACAGACCTATGCCCACCAGTGCTGCACCTTGTGCTAGCACCACCACCAATAGGACCACATGCACAGTTGCCAGTGGAGGGACCCAGCTCCCTGAGCCATTCTGCTTCTGCTGCTGCTGTGAACGCCCCCAGGGAGACAGGCACCCTGACAGCTGCTAGCACCTTTCCACAGCTGACAAGTGTGCACCCCTCCACACTGCCACTCCACCACCACTGCCGCTGCTGGCACATGCAAGCAAGGATGGATCCTACTGCCACCATCCTACAAAATGCTTTGGCTGGCACCACCCATCAGAGTGTAGTGACCAGCTGTCCAGAAGCACATTGGGCCCCCAGTGCAATGAGTTGACGACCTTGAGGAGCCAGAGAGCAAAGTTGGGGCCCAATACAAGTCTCCCAGAGTTAGAGCACACAGCCCAGGAGTTCGGAGCTGAGCACTGGCTGCCTAAAATTTTCCAGAAACAAAGCCAGTCTATTGAATCCACCTTATACCAAAATCAAACTGTCAAAGTTATCAAATAGAATAAAAGGAAAAAAACTTCAAAGATTGAAGGAACTTCAGCCCCAAAGATGAGAAAGAGCCAGTGCAAGAACTTCGAGAACTCAAAAAACCAGACTGCCTTTTTTCCTCCAGGTGACCACAGTACCTCTGTAGCAAGGGTTCTAAGCCAGGCTGAGAAGGCTGAAATGACAGAAATAGAATTCTGAATATTAATAAGAATGAAGATCATTGAGAGGCAGGAGCACATTGAAACACAATCCAAGAAAGCTAAGAAACATAATAAAATGATACAGGAGCTGACAGACGAAATAGCCAGTATAGAAAAGAATGTAATTGACCCGAATGAGCTGAAAATCACACTATAAGAATTTCAGACCAGTCACAGTGGCTCACGCCTGTAATCCCAGCAGTTTGGGAGGTTGAAGTGGGTGGATCATTTGAGGTCAGGAGTTCGAGACCAGCCTGGCCAACATGGCGAAACCCCATCTCTACAAAAATTAGCCAGGTGCCTGTAATCCCAGTTACCAAGGAGGCTGTGGCAGGAGAATTGCTTGAACCTGGGAGGCGGAGGTTTCAGTGAGCTGAGATAGCACCATTGCACTCTGGACTGAATGATGGAGTGAGACTCCATCTCAAAAAAAAAAAAATACAATCTCTAGTATTACTATCAGAATGCACCTAGCTGAAGAAAGAATCTCAGAGCTTGAAGACTGGTTTTCTGGAATAAGACAGGGAAGAATAGAGAAAAAGGAATGAACAAAATCTGCAAGAAATATGGGATTGTGTAAAAGAGATCAAATCATGTCCTGAAAGAGGTGGGGAAAATTGAAGCAACTTGGAAAACATAGAAATATGTTACATAGAAACATAGAAATTTCATCCATGAGAACTTCCCCAACCTAGCTAAAGAGGCCAACACTCAAATTCAGAAAATGCAAAGAGCCTCAGTAAGATACTTCACAAGAAGATCATCCCCAGGACACATAATCATCAGGTTTTCCAAGGTAAAAATGAAAGAAAAAATGTTAAAGGCAGTTGGAGAGAAAGGTCAGGTCACATACAAAGGGAAGCCCATCAAACTAACAGCAGATCTCTCCGCTGAAACCTTACAAGCCAGAAGAGACTGGGGACCAACATTCAACATTCTTAAAGAAAAGAAATTCCACCAAGAATTTCGTATCTGGCCTAACTAAGCTTCATAAGCGAAGGAGAAATAAGATCCTTTTCAGACAAGCAAATACTGAGGGAATTTGTTACTACCAGACCTGCCTTATAAGACCTCCCGAAGGAAGCACTAAATATAGAAAGGAAAGACCATTACCAGCCACTACCGGTATACACTGAAGTACACAGACTATAAGTGACACTATAGAGCAACCATACAAACAAGTCTGCATAATAACCAGATAACATCGTGATGACAGGATTAAATCCACACAGCTCAATACTGACCTTGAATGTAAACAGACCAAATGCCACAATTAAAAGGCACTGTGTAGAGTCGGACAAAGAAGCAAGGCCCAACTATATACTGTCTTTAAGAGACCCATCTCACATGCAATGGCACACATAGGCTTAAAGTAAAGGATGGAGAAAAATCTACCAAGCAAATGGAAAATAGAAAAAAGCAGGGGTTGCTATTCTGATTTCAAACCAAACAGACTTTATACCAAAAATAATCAAAAAAGACAAGGGCATTACATAATGGTAAAGGGTTCAATTCAACAAGAAGATCTAACTATCCAAAATATACGTGCACCCAATACAGGACCACCCAGATTCATAGGGCAAGTTCTCAGAAACTTTACACCAGACAGAATGGTGGATCATGAGGTCAAGAGATCGAGACCATCCTGGCCAACATGGTGAAACCCCGTCTCTACTAAAAATACAAAAATTCACTGGGTGTGGTGGCACGCAGCTGTTGTCCCAGCTACTCAGGAGGCTGAGGTTGCAGTGAGCTGAAATCGCACCACTGCACTCTAGCCTGGTGACAGAGTGAGACTACGTCTCAAAAAAAAAAAAATAAATAAAAAATAAAAAAAAAGATGCTGGTGAGGGTGAAGAGAGAAAGGAACACTCATACACCATTGGTGGAAGTGTAAATTAGTTCAACCATCGTGGAAAACATTGTGGTAATTCCTTAAAGACCTAAAAATAGAATACCATTTGACCCAGCAATCCCATTACTGGATATATACCTGAAGGAATATAAATCATTCTGTCATAAAGACACATACACGCATATGTTCATTGCAGCATTGCTCACAATAGCAAAGACATGGAATCAACCTAAATGCCCATCAATGGTACACTAGATAAAGAAAATGTGGTACGTTTATGCCATGGGATACTACACAGTCATAAAAATAACAAGATCATGTCCTTTGCAGCAACATAGACAGAGCTGGGGGCCATTATCCTTAGCAAAGTAATGCATGACCAGAAAACCAAATAATGCATGTTCTCACTTATAAGTGGGAGCTAAATGATGAGGACACATGGACACACAGAGGGGAACAACAGACACTGGAATTTTTCAGAAGGTGGAGAGTGGGAGGAGGGAGAGGATCAGGAAAAATAACTGATCGGTACTAGGCTTAATATGTGGGTGACAAAATAATCTGAACAACAAACCCCTATGACTCGAGTTTACTTGTATAACAAACCTGCACATGCACCCCTGAACTTTAAATAAAAGTTAAAAAATAAGATTTAGCTCTTATAATACTAGCATTTGGAATACTTTTTATGTGCTAGGCACTGTGCATGTGTTATCTCATGTGATACTTACTATGGCCCATTCTTTGCAGATGAGAAAACTGAGATTCAGGGAGGTTCAGTTCCTTGCCCAAGGCCACAGAGCTAATGAGTGGTGGAGGTGGGATTCAAACTCTGCCTAACTCTAAAAATTATGTGTTTTATACACATAGTGGAATTACTGTGCCCATCTATTTACTCTTTAATGGCTGAGATCCTCATTTGTTTTACTTTATGAAAACTAGTCATTGGCGATGAAATGAGCAGGAATTTGGAAAGTAAATAATTTCCTTTAAACAAGAATCTAATTTGGAAAGTGTTGCTTATTAACTACAGTCCTGGTTGGCTCATTACATACCCAAAGCTTATTAGGTTTTGCCTGGCCTGTCTCAAGATGCTTTTGCTCTCAGTAGTGTAGTGATACTTTTATAAAATATTTGTTTAATTTTTCTGAACATGTTTGGGATGGACTATATGAGGGGAATCTTTGTTATTTATAGGCAAAAAAGGATCCACCTGCAGACTCTGAGGGCACTGTCAGAAGTACAGAAAATGACTCCAAGAGAAAGGATGAGGCTGAGAAAGCTCCAGGCAGCTGATGAGAAAGGCAGGAAGTTGAAGTAAGTTGCATTTCCTTTAGGCACTCATGCTCGGTACTACTTCTCAGGGCTCTCAGGGAATTTACAGAGAAAAGCAGAAACCAAAACAGGAAACCCCAATGCATACGATTATGTATTTATGTGTTTATTCATTCACTCGTTCACTTCAAGATGACTATTGAGCCATAGATTGAATGCCAGGTGCTATTAATATCAGGCTTTCAGTCTTGTGTGAAGGAAAAGATTAACTATTTGGGAGGTTATTAGTGATGAAAATAGTGTCAATTTCCAAATGAAACCTCATTGCTGTTGACAGCTTCTGCACATACCCCAGCAGGAGACATCACTGTTTTACCCAGATTCCCTAGGTGCTTGCTGCGTACCTTCTACCAGGAGACCTCACTTATTTATAGGAAGGAGACTTTATTGGCAGGAAATTGTTAGCTTTTGAAAGAAGTAGATGGGAAACAGAGCTCTGTTCTGTCAAGTGAAGCCTTAGAAAAGTCTATGCTCAGGGCGGTGTTGCTGGTGGGAGATATCACTAGTAATTAGAGTATTTACATGAAAAAGTGAAATTTCAGGTGTTAGCCAGGATGTAGAGAAAAGGGATCCCTTGTGCAGTAGTGGTGAGAATGTAAATCAGTACAGCCATTATGGAAAAATAGGATGAAGATTCCTCTAAAAATTAAAAATAGAACTACCATATGATCCGGCAGTCCTACATTTGGATTTATATCCAATGAAATCAGTATATCAAAAAGATACTTACACTCCAATGTTCATTGCAGAATTATTCACAGTAGCCAAGATATGGAATCAATGTATGTATCCATCAACAGATAAAGGGATAAATAAAATGTGGTATAAATACATACAATGGAGTACTATTTAGCCTTAAAAAAGAAGGGAATCCCATCATTTGCAACAACATGGATGAACCTGGAGGACATTATGTTAAGAGAAATAAGCCAGGTATAGAAAGACAAACACTGCGTAATATCACTTATATGTGGAATCTTAAAAAGTTGAATTCACAAAAGAGGGGAGGAGAATGGTGGTTATTAGGGGAAAGGGGGCATGAATGGGGAAATGTTGGTCAAAGGGTAAAAAGTTTCAGTCAGACAGGAGAAATAAGTTTTGGAGATCTATTGTACAATATTGTGACTGTAATTAATAACACTGTTTTGTATTTTTGAAAATTGCTAACAGAGTAGAGCTTGATTTAATCATCCTACAATGTATACATATATGAAAACATCACATAGTATATATAAATCTAAACTTTTTTGTCAATTAAGTTTTAATAAAACTGAAAAAATACATGTATAAAATGAAATTTCAAACAGCCTAAGAGCCTCAATTTCTGAAAAACTGATTTATCTGTTGGTAGGTTATCAAATTTCCTAATTTTTCTTATTTTTTCTTCCTCTGCCAATGTTTTGGTAGTTTAGGAGCCCCAGTCAAGAACTAGAGAGACAGAAAGAACCTGAACACAAATCTATTCATTTTGTTACCTTGTTAATTTATCTGAAAACTGATTTAGAGGTGTCCTTGTACTTAGAATGAATATCATGATAAGCCAAATAAGAATCTATGAGTCTATTTTCTCTTGACATGTGCTTTCTTTAATAAATGGGTAGAAAAAGATTTCCATGAAAGTACATCATGAGCAGTGGTGTGCTGGTGAATATTTAATTACCAGCTCTGGATTTGAAGGGGGCTGCTGATTTCTGTGATATAAATACTTCCACTGTGGCCAATATCAAGCTACCAATATGGTATCATTTAATTTTCAGTTGGGAAGATATTTACACAGTCTGCTCTTGGGAGCCAATACAAGTTGGCTTCTGCAAACCACTGTGACATTGAATGTGGGTTTTACTGGGAAAATATATTCACATAAATTGCTTGAGCCATTGCATCAGCTCACAGCCCCAAATCTGTTTGTAATACCTCAGAAATGGTGATATTTCCAAGGTGCCATGATTCATGTCATTGGCTGAGGATAAAAGGAAAATTAAATCTCTGATAGGAACGGATTAAAAAGGTAAATTTAATAACATATGCAGATTACAAAATATTTACATTAAAACTGTTTTTTAATACAAAGAAGTCACATATCTTTCACATGTTATACTAATATATTTTTCTTATTTGAAGGTAATGGTTTTAAATAAAGTTTGGCCTTGATTTTGTGAATAAATTGTATTGGAATTGTTTCTAATTGTTGATTGTAGAATCAAGGGGGTCTTGTGTTTTAGCTAGAAAATGACTCTATTGTCAGAAGAATGATAACGTACCCATTTTAGAGACAAGAGAGTTTGACCAGAAGGGTATTCAGTGAGGAAAACCTGAGTATCAATTAGCCCACAAGTAATCAAAGAACTCAGATCTTTCACCCAGTTTAGTAGCAGGTCTCTTAAACTCACTCTCCTGTAATAAGAGAAAACAAAGTAAATGTGTCTAGAAAAATTCCCCTGCACAATAACTCCCATATATTTCCTCATACATTCTTTGATATGTGGCTCTAGTTTTACTTTTTATGGGTTTGTTCATCCTGAAAGCAGTTTTTGTGTTATTAGTATGTGTTAGGCACTGTGCTAGGCATTGGGAGCACATAGCTCTGTCATTGCACTTGGAGAACACACAGAGAGGAGCACTGCCTTCTCCTGCTGCTGCATTTTGGGATTTGTAAGGGTAAGTAAGGAACCAGAACATCCTGTGTGTGCTTTAAAAGAGAATCAGCTGGGTGCTGCACCACATTCACCTTGATGAGGAAGGGAACTGATGGCCCGATTTTCTAATCCCCCAGTCGATCTGTTGAAATAAGGATCACATTCATCTGTATAATATAGACATGGTTTTAGCAATTCACAGTTATTTTTCTACATTCACTTTAAACTTACAGAAAGATTGTGGAAGAAAAATATGAAGAAAATAGCAAACGAATGCAAGAATTGAGATCTCGGAACTTTCAGCAGCTGAGTGTTGATGTACTCCATGTAAGTATCCTCTTATTTTAAAGTTTACATGAAAATTTTTCTTGCTTCAGATTCATGGCGATGATTGGGTAGGAAAAGGGACAAGGGAGAAAACAAGAACATCCAGGTTAACTTTGCCGAGTTCCAGGAAGGATTCTAGAATGTAGGTCAACAGTTGGTGACAACGATTCGAAATGACTGTAGCAAGAGGTGGGTCAATTGATCCATTTAACAAAAATCAAGCGCCTACTCTGCACAAGACAACTGAATTGGCACTGAATGCATAACTGATGGGTTAAAATGATTAGCTGACAGAACAAATGTGTGTGTATCTAATTTTTAATTCCACCCATGCTATTGTTGCTTTACCTCTTTAGTACATTGTTCTCTTTGGTTTTTATTCTTTTCCTTTTTATTTTGTTTCCTACCCATTTTGTTGTACATTGTGTTGGTAACTTCATTCAAATTTTAACTGCCATAGATGTTCAATAATGAATAGAGTTGCAGATTCACATGAAGTGACCCCAAATTCATGTCCTCGGCATTCCAAATCTATAAATAGCAAACACCATTTTCTCTAATGGTTGACAGTGTCTCCACAGGCCTTGGGTAGGCTCTGATTAATAAGGTGGTCTTTACAATGTCAAATTTGGGCAATAGATGTCAATACCAACCTCATAGCTCTTCAGGTAAAAGCAACTTGGGATGAAGCCATTTTTATAGAGAACTTCTACTGTCTCAAATTCTGATTTTCATTAATGGAGATTCCTGCATGTGAGAGATTCTGTCCTTTAGCAGGAAGCACCAAGCCCCCTGAGGCTGCGGGTACAATCCCCCAAGCCCCAGGGATGCTAATTCTGTTGTAGCTTAGTTATCAGAGGGCTCCAAACCCTGGGGCATGCATGAGACCTCACTCTCAGCCAGATAGGCCCCTCTTAACGGGAGATCTGCCAGTAATGCATCTTTCTCAATTATTTAGGGGTTCTATGTGCTCTGGAGTTCTAAAAATCCCAAGTTGGGACCAATAAGAGGCTTAGCTTCCTCTAACCTCAGGAGTCTCCCTCTGTTTGATGGACCAGTTAGCAGACAATGTGGGGATGCTGGTTTGATATGTGCTCAATTCCATCCCCCTTTTCCCACCCATCCGCCACTCCATTTAAGTGAAGTCCCCATGTGGGATCTGTTGCAGGCTACAGAGACTTGGGAGATGGGTTCTTTCTTGCTCAGGGAACTTGGTGAGTGAAGAACCTGCTGGCTGAAAGGCCATGGGGTCAACAAAAGGGCTGGATCCTTACTTGGAGAAGGGTCTTGATGCCACCACTATGGAAGGACTCAAGCCCCCCTCTGAAAACTGGGTGCCTTTCTTCAACTTCCCACACACTTCTAGGCCCTGCAAATGATAGCCTGTGAAGGTGGGTCTTCTTCTCTGGTTCAGTCTGCTTTGTCCCCCTACAGTCCTGAGAACTGCACATTCCCACAGATCCTGACAAGGAGGCTGACAGAATTATAAGAATTCTGAGTGTGTTCATGTGTAAAGTACTTGTTTATTCAGCTATAGAAATGGGGACATAGTTTTCTAGAATGCTCAGAAATGTTGTATTTCTTATAAGCCCTCTGCTAATTCCTATGCTGCTGGCCTGATTCCTGTGTACACTCTGATTAATAATGAATAGAAAATGGGCCTCCTGAAAGCAGCACTTCACCTCAGATGAGGGAAGACTTGGAAAACCACTGCTGAACAGACCTTGTCATAATCTCTTTAGGGTCTTGTCTTCCTCTTATAAATCAGGGATCCCTGATTCTAAGGGATTTTCCCCCTAAGATTGAAAATGGAGAAGTACAGGCATGGTATTATTTTGTTTTATAAAATCTAAATGACTTCATTCTTGAAGTTACCATATGGCAAAAAAGAAATGTAGTTTCAAGTATGAGCTTGAATATTAGTGTCTGATAATTTGCTTTTTTGCTTTTCTTCTTTGACCCTTCAAGATCACCATGTTTGTGTTCTTTTATATTGGATGGAATTATTATTGGTGTTATGACTACACTGTATTAGGTCTTATCTTCCTCTTATAAATCAAGGTCCTTTGGGGGTCCTGAAGTGACTGAAGATAAGCCTGAGACCATATGGCAGGCAGAATCCCAAGAAATGTTCTTATCCATATATTATTCCACAGAACATGGGAGCTAGACACAAAGTTCTGATCTTGGCCCAACTCAGATGAAGAAAGAGAGGATTTCACATCCTATGAATTCCCAACTCATCAATTCCCCAGTGACTTCCCATTTTCATCACCTTCCCACCAGCAAGGAGCAAAGGGAGCAGGAGGGGAAGCGACTGATGCTGATGCTGTTGTGGACAAAGACTGTGGTTCATTCTTTGATCTTCTGAGATTAGTGCCACCACTGTCTTTGGCCCTGAGCTTTCCAGAAGCATGTTTCCTATGTTTATATATTGACGGCAGAAATGCTCCAGGCAGATAGATGGCTGTTGAGTCTGTTCTGCTTGAACACTGTGTCCTCTTGCCAGCTGGTTCAGGCAAACAGACTGGATGGCTCAGCATCCCCAGGCATCCTGCTCTGTTTTGTGCAGTCACATCAGCCATTTCCCTCTGGCACATTGTCAGCATCCCACCTCTCTTTCAAATGTTTTCAGGAAAACCTTCTCGGCCCACTTGGGTCTACAATCAATGAACCCTCCTCCAAATTCTTATGGCTTATAGTATTCTCAAACTTGAAATGCACTTTGATTTCCTATGAATCTTGTTAAGATGCAGATTCTGATTCGATTAGACCAGATGCAGCCTGAGATGTTGCATTTCTTATAAGCCCTCTGCTAATTCCTATGCTGCTGGTCTATTTCCTATGTACACTCGGATTAATAATGAATAGAAAATGGGCCTCCTGAAAGCAGCGCTTCACCTCAGATGAGGGAAGACTTGGAAAACCACTGCTGAACAGACCTTGTCATAATCTCTTTAGGAAAAAACACATTTAATAGGAATGGAAGAAAAGGAGGAGCAACCTGAGGGAAGACTTTCTTGTTCACCCCAGGACGAGGATGAAGAGAGGTGGCAAGACAGGGAAGAGGCAAGTTTAATCATATTCACACACATATTCAGCACAAAAGTGAGGCAGGTTTAATGATATCCAGAGAACAAAGGGGAAATCAAATGGGAAGCTGAACACTTTGCAGAGGAGCCTGAAGGGTTTTAAATGTAGCAGGAAAAAGCTTCATTGAGCTGAAAAAGATGAAATGAATATAGGAAAGAAATTAGATTAATCAGATGCAAGAGGCTAAAGAAAAATGTGATAAAGAAGGAGAAGAGGAAGAGAAAAATGCTCACATCTTTGAGTGCTTTCCTTCCCCTTGCCCATACACATGTTTATGATTTAATTTCTTACTCATCTCACTGGGGCTCTGTTCTCTATTCCTTCTTCCATCTCTCTTGCCTGGCGGAAGCAAGCTACTTTATATTTCTAAAGCACTTACAGGAGAGAATCAGAGTTATGGGAGAGAATGGGCTCTATGTCACCTCTTAAACATGTTATAAAAATTATTTGAGGCATGTAGGAGAGTGGCTTGCTTTGTTTTTCAGACCCTAGCTGACAAGGCCTTTTATTTTGGCAGGCATTTTCTGCTTGACTGAATTTGGGCTTTGAAATCTTGAAGCACCATCGAATGTGGAATCATGTTAGGCACCGTTTCTCTAAAGAATGACAGCTTAAAGCAGTTAGATACCATAATATGTAAGACAGGCCAGGTCTGTCTTTGATCCTGTGGCGTTTACAATTGTGCTGGGGCTAAAGTTAGGTCTCTGTGAGAAGTACATAGCAGATCAGGTCTCCATACATAGAGTGGTAATGGGGACCAAAGATCACACCATGTCCTTCTCCTTCTAAAAGAAGCATTTATAATAATTCTATCTTTCTCTTCAAAGAGAAACAGCAAATCAAAGTTAATTGAGAGTCCAAATACATTTTTATTTTCAAGTAATTTTCGAAGTGCACATAAAGATGTATTTCATGTACTCTCTGTTCTTTATCCATAAAGTTCTCTGTGTACTCTCAGTGATCCTTTGAAATTTGGAACCAATTTCACTTCCGAAACAATTATTATACAGTACAGAAAACTGACTTCTTAAAAACACTTTATGATGATATTCTCACGAATATTGCACTGCAGTATGGCATGGCTTCATTTCACTTATTGAGATTAGATTGAACTTTCTTTTAAATTTTGTTTTATTAAAAAGATACTCTTGGAGTAGTTTCCCTTGAAAACCATTTATCAAGAAAAATAGATCAACTCAGCACCAGCTCCAGGTTCAAACACAAATACACACACATACACACACACACACACATAACTAAGGGAAAAAGGCAAAATGATTTATTGAAATACCTACTGATTTTGGCTAAACCTTTTATTTTTTTGAAGTGTGAATTCTTTCATCATGTGGTCTCTCAGATCTTTTTCTTTTAGGAAATTGGAATTCATAGAATCACAGAGATTTAAAGCTAGAGGGGAACTTGTAAGTCATTCAAGCTAACACCTTTAATTTTGAGATGCAGAAACTGAGCAGGGCTGGAGTAGGGTGTGGTAACTGGAATATCCTAGGTGCCAAATTGAAGGAGGCCCCCCTCAGCTGTCAATGGAGTGAGTACCTTCAGTTGGTACCTTGGGTATCCCACTTGGCTTACCTAGTCATGATCCTGAAACTGAGCCCATGAAGGTTAAATGCTTTGTGCAAGGTCACCTGTCTCATTGATTCAGGGCTGTTTCTCTTATCCCAGCTTACCTCCTGAAGTTTGAAAATGTTTAAGGGAGAGGATTAGGTAGGCTTGTTTCCAAGTAGTCTTCTAAGTAAGAATATTTTTTCCATTTGTGGTAGCGCTGTTTCCTTCTATCAGCATCTCATGAATTGTTAATTACCTTCCACAAGGAATTTGATGAACCGACTTTAGAGAACCTGTCTGAACCTCAGCCTATTCCTTCCATGGACCTCCGCAAACTTGAATCAATTGTAGAGGATGCCACATCTGACCTTGGATATCATGGTACGTGTTTGCATTGGTTTTCACAAGGATGCTCACAGCTGCTGCCCAGGTTGCTGTGGCTGACTTTGCAGTGGGCCTGTCTGGCCTCTGAGAGAAGCTCTGGGTATATGCAGCTACCTGCTATCAGTTTGCCAGGGCTGGGCTATGACCGGGATGAAAAGTAGAGAAGCTAAGGATTTTTCTGTCCTTTCTATCTTCTTTGCAATAGTGAGGATGAGTTGGAAACTCACACCTGATAAGAGACCTCTTCTGGGTGGGTTAAACAATGTTGTCGTTAACCTGACTTTGGAATCGTGCAAACTCTGAATGCTCTGGAGCACTGTGTTTTCCCTGTTCTGTAAATGGTTCTCCCAACTGTCGTAAATTTAAATTGAAGAAATGAAGCCAGGCTTTGGAAAATCAACTATGCAGTTGTGCATTACCAGAAAATAAAAGTGCTCAGAGCAGGAATACAAAGGCAGGCCTGTAGGATGGCTGACTTTGCTAGAGGACTTCCTGATGCCTTTGCTACCTCAGACTACACAGCAAACGAGTACACTTCCAGCAAACCTCTATTTTCACTTGAGATAAGACTTTAATCAGTGGTCCACATGGAGCAGATACATCCAAATGGAGTAGGTACATCATAAGCTAACGGTTAAATGCATGGGTTTTGGAGTAAAAAAGTTGGCTCTATCAGAAAAGGCCCTGACAACATAATCTCTCTAGGTCTCTGCTTTCTTATCTATGAAATAAGAATAATAATGCCTTCTTTCAGGGTTGTTGTGAAGAGCAAATGAGATGTGGCATGTGGAGTGGTCTTAGTTCAGTGCCCAGCACACAGTAAGTGCTGAAGAAGGGGAAGCAGTTATGACACTTTGAGCAAAGAAGGGTTATCAATGTAAGTGTCTTCTCAGTATAGTTCACCAGTCTCCTCAGTGCCTAGAGCAAAGTTCCAGGAACATTCTAAGCATTCTATAATTCTTGACTGAATTAATAATTCTTGACTGAATTAATGAGTGGATGAATACATGAATGAATGTTAGTCTGGACCTCTGAGAAGCAGATGCTAAGTCAGGACTACAATTGCAATGTTACTTTTAGAGAAAATGCTTACATAAAAGAAAGTAAAGAAGAGCTAGAAAAAACCAGGGGAACCATTAGACCACTGATTAAAGTCTTATTCCAAGTGAAAAGAGAGGTTTGGTGGAGGTGAACTAGATTGCTCTGCAGTCAGAGGTAGCAAAGGCGTCAGGAAGTCCTCTAGCAAAGTGAGCAGCCATCCTACAGGCCTGCCTTTGTATTCCTACTGTGCTCCAGTAGTCGCCCATCAGGAGGCATCATAGCCTCTGAGAGAATGCAGAGATGGATTTCAGAGCACAGCAGCTGGGATCCTTGGCCAGTTGCACTCTGTGTTATTGGAGGTCTTCAAGTGCATCCTTATGGCTGCACAATGATATAAGAGCTCTCTTTGGCAGCAGTGTAGCTCTCTTCTCAAGTTCAGAATTAAGGTAGTGAACCTTGGGTTATCTTGTCTTCTTATCCCAGATTTGCACTTGAAGTCTTCTTAATAGAGCTCTTAGAGCCTGTGCTGCCTCCTTCAGCTGTATGGAGACAAGCCCCTTGAAGCTCTTTAGATTGGCATTAGCCAACTTTTAAAATGGTGCTATGGAAGCCATCTTGTAACAGACATTCTTGACAAACAAATATGTATTTCAGATGAATTTCTATCTTAGGCTTTTTATGATATTTAATATATTATTTGTTAGTTTCCAAAAGTAAAATTTAGAAGTATAGAAATATCCCATGGACTTCTATTTCTAAAAATAGAAATGTCAGAGACATTAGAACCAGAGCAACTCCATCTTGAGTAAGGGCTGAGTAAAATAAGGCTGAGACCTACTGGGCTGCATTCCCTGGAGGTTAAGGCATTCTTTGTCACAGGGTGAGACAGGAGGTCAGCACAAAATACAGGTCATAAAGACCTTGGTGATAAAACAGGTTGTAGTAAAGAAGCCAGCCAAAGCCCACCAAACCCAAGATGGCAATGAAAGTGACCTCTGATCATCCTCATTGCTCATTATATGTAAATTATAATGCATTAGCATGCTAAAAGACACTCCCACCAGCACCGTGACAATTTACAAATGCCATGACACATGGGAAGTTACTTTATGTGGTCTAAAAGTAGGGGGAATCCTCAGTTCCGGGAGTTTCCCACCCCTTTCCTGGAAAACTCGTGAATAATCCACCTGTTGTTTAGCATATAATCAAGAAACAACTATAAGTCTATTCAGTCGAGCAGCTCATGCCACTACTCTGCCCATGGAGTAATCATTCTTTTGTTTCTTTACTTTCTTAATAAACTTGCCTCCACTTTTCTCTATGAACTTGCCCTGAATTCTTTCTTGTGCGAGGTCCAAGAACCCTCTCTTGGGGTCTGAATTGGACCCTTTTCCAGTGACAGAAAGCTGAGAAAGTTAAGCAGTATGTAACTCCCGATACCTGTGGCTTGTGCTCTGCTGGAGGACAGAGCCATCACTATTTATGCATAGGAAGCCCCAGGGCAGGATACTGAATGGGTGGTCTAGGACCAAAAAGTCTGAGCTTCCTCCTGATTTCAAATAGGTAAAGTACTTAATACTTCATTTCATAGATGAGAATCCAAAGACATTAAATTACTTGCTTAAGGACCTCAGAGTTCCTGCTTTCTATCTAGTACACCACCCTTTCCATTTCCCCCAAAGGATGTGTTTCTGGTGGTGGTGGGTAGAAGCAATCGACTTGTAAGAAACAGAAAAACATATCAAAGAAATTGGACTTTCGAAAGGCAGAGTCTTTGTCATGTGTCTCTTTGCTAATTTTTGTGAACTGTAGTAGCCAAATTACTCCCAAGCTAGTCTTGACCACAGGTTCCGGCTACTATGGGAAACTCAAGCTATGTCCTTCTTACCTCTCATTTTGTCCTTTGTCATGGAGATTTCAGTATGGTAGACAGTGTGTTGATTTACCAACCAAAGTGGAAATCGTCAAATCTACTTCTTTGACCACTTTGTTCATATTGTTATGTAAAGACTACTTAGGACTCTATGATAAACTATCAGATTAGAAAAAATACATAATAGTTTTAGGTGGATCAGATGCCTTGTAAAATACTTTAAACATTTCCGTTATTTTTTCCTGTCTGTAAATTCATACTTTCTAAATGCTATTCTTTCTCAATATTAAATTCAAAAAATAAACTTAGAACTATGAAAATACAACCTTGGTAAGCATTTAGGTTGATTCTATGTCTTTGCTATTGTGCATAGTGCTATAATGAACCTAAAACAAAAGTAAAAAAAGAAGGAAAAAAAGAAAATGCAAGCTTTGGGTTTGACAAATCATTAGAAAGGTGGGCAACTACCAGAAAATTAGTGATCACAGAGATTAATTGAAGTTTTGAAACATGAGACTTAATTTGTTGATGAACTCTGAAGTGGTTAATTATTTTTTCAATGCTTTTTGCCTTTTAGAAGATTACACTGCAAACTTTCAGCACCCAAAGGAAGTTTTTATTAGTTTATTTTTTATTTGGCATGTATATGTAAAATAAAATTACACAGTCATTCTTTCAAAGCTCCTACACCAAATGTTTAATTAGTCTTTGATGTTGACTTGGAAAATTCCCTCTGGCATATGAGGAGTTAGTTGCAGGGAAAAAAAAGACAGGATAAGACTTATTATTTACATTTGATATGCATTAGTTGACTATGCATATGATTTAATCTAGCAAAAGTCATGGGTAACCATTATAATCAATTGAGAAAGTACAACTGGAATGTTAAAGAAATTATCCCCATTTAACTTCTTATATGTAATGCTAATGATTTCTTGCCCATTAATTTTTGCCAGGAACTTCCTTGTACTCTAGCCATTTTATTTTATTTTATTTTATTTATTTTATTTTATTTTATTTTATTTTATTTTATGTTTTAGCAACTCACAGCTGACTTTCAGAGCAGTGTTTTTTCCAAAGCTGAAATAGCCTGAGACTCTTGATCGTGGGTCTACCAGGAGCATGACTCCCTACCCCACCAGTCAGATGTAGAGAATGCAGTGAAGTAGGCCTTGGCTGCTTACCCACATCCTGACCAGCTGTCACCTCTTCATTTCCTGTTCAGCCACTCTTTAAGCAAGCACTGAGCCCAGTGCTCAGAGATAGCTCTGACCTCTAGGAGGTTGTGCTTTGCTTGCCTGTAGGAACCCCACATGCTCTTTGCAGTTCTGGGCTGTTCTATGACTTATGATGTCACCTCTTCTTTTTAAAAGTTCAAGTGGAAATAAAGTGATTTGAACTTTGTTAATTAAACATGATATGTTTTTATTGTTTTAATTTTAAAAAGAAAACCTCTACTCACTCAGTAATTTCACTTTTAGATAGTTATCTGAAAATGTGTCTACAAGACTTGTACACAAATGTTTCTAGCAGTTTTATTCATAAGTACTCAAAATTAAAAGCAAGTCAAGTGTCCATCAACAGGTGAATGGATAAGCAAATGTGTAGTTTGTCGATGGAATATATACTACTTGACACTGAAAAGGAACACACACCAATATATAAAACAATATAGATAAATACTTTTAAAATTATGAGAAGTGAAAGAAGTCTTACATAAAAGAGTTCATACTGAATGATTCCATTTCTGTGAAGTTCCGGAACCAGAAGTACTTATCTATAGTGATGGAAATTAGGCCAGTTGCTGCCTGGGGGTGGTGGTGGTGGGAGTTGACTCCAAAAGGGCATAAGGAAACCTTTTTTTGTGATAGAAAAGTTTGTAAGTTTGCTGTCTTGATTGTGGTGCTGGCTACCCAGATGGGTATATTTGTCAAAACTCACTGGACTCTATACTTTAAATTAGTGCATTTTATTATATATAAATTATACCTAAATAAAATTGATAAATTTAAAAAATTGTTAAAATATTCAGAAGAAACAATGTAATGCTTAACTGTCTATGTGTTAGCTAATGAATGGCCAA